CATGACTTTACCTGAAACTACATTTATTTTAGAGATGGTGGTGGTATCTGTTAGGAATGCTATTGACAGCAGGGAAGAGAAAGCCCTACCAAGAGTGGGTTTATTTTTCTGCTGTAAGAAGAAGTCTGGAGATAAGCAGTTGCTAGTTTGTTTAACCTGTTCATCCATACCAGGGTTCAACAAACTATAGTCTGCTGGCCTAATCTGGCCTGGCACCTTGTTTTTGTAAATAAAATGTAATTGGAACATAGCCACATTAATTCGTTTACACATTGTTTATGGCCGCTTTCATGCTATAAAGTCAGAGTTGAGTAGCTGCAAGAGAGACTATATATAAGGCCTACAAAGCCTAAAATATTCATTATCTAGCTCTTTAGAGAAAACATTTCTTAACTTCTGATCTATACCATTAAGGACCCAATTTCTTTTATCCGCTCATTCATTTTTGGCTCGCTGACTCTTTTTTAAGACAAATGATCTCCTTATGTTGCCCAGGCTGGCCTGAAGTGATCCTTCCCCGCAGCCTCCTGAGTATCTGGGACTGCAGGCACACACCATTGTGCTTGGCTTGACTTACTGAAATTTTGTTCTGTGTCACCTCATTGTCATAGTACATCCACCATGGTTCCATATTCATGTTCCAAGGCAAGAAGAAAAGGTAAAGGGGATGACACTAATCATGCTTGTTTATTTTATTGGGAAAGCAACAGTCTTCTAGAAGCTTCCCAGCCAATTTCTGTTTACATCTCAAAGGCTAAAATTATGTTATATAGTAAACTATAGCTGTAAGGGAAGCTGGAAACTACTGACTTTTCTAGTCTCTCCAGTGGAGGTAGGCATGTGCCAAAAGTAACAGTTATTTGCTATTAGTCCTTTTATCATGATGGACCATTCATATTAGAAAATAAATGGACTGCGTAAGTTCCTAGCCCGGTGATTCTCAAACTTTGTTGCATGTGAACGTCTCATGGAGTGCAGAATATAGATTCTTGAGGCCCATGCACAGAGGTTTTCTTGGGTGGAGTCAAGGGATTTGCATTTTCAAAAAGTACCAGAGATCATTTTGATGCCTATGTGGACCCTCTGGTAAATACTGTGTTGGCATTTTAGTTTGGGATTTTGTTCTGAGGCAGTGTTTCTCAATCCTGGTTGTGTATCAGAATCATATGTGGAGGTTCCTTTTTCTTTCTTTTTTTTTTTTTTTCTATTCTGTTCTGTTCTACTATTCTATTCTTCTTTCTTTTTTGAGATGGAGTTTTGCTCTGTCACTCAGGCTGGAGTGCAGTGGTGCGATCTTGGGTTCAAGTCCCCAGGTTCAAGCAATTGTCCTGCCTCTGCCTCCTGAGTAGCTGGGGCTACAGGTGTATGCCACAATGCCTGGCTGATTTTTGTATTTTTTAGTGGAGATGGAGTTTCACCATGTTGGCTAGACTGGTCTTAAACTCCTGGCCTCAAGTGATCTGCCTGCCTAAGTCTCCCCAAGTGCTGGGATTACAGGTTTGAGCCACCACCACACCCAGGCAAAAAATAACTTTTTAAAGCAGAACTTCTGAAAAAAGATTACTGTGTATTAATGTTGACTGTGTGATGGATCCCATGCTGTATATTACATGCTTTTGTTTGTTTCATGCTGCATAGTAATAGTGGTAGTTTTGTTGGATAGTCATGGTCAAAAATCATTAATCTAAGACTGTTTCTCAGAGTGTAGTTCCCAGGCTAGCAGCATCACTATGTTTTGGGGATTTTTTAGAAATTCAAATTATTAAGCATTACCCCAGACTGACTTAACTGGAAACTCAGACAGGGCCCAATGGTCTGTTTCAGCAAGTTCTCCTGGTGATTCTGATGCATGTCAAAGTTTCAGAACCTTGAAAGACACTGCTCAATGTTTTCCAGCTTGGTTTAGATAAAATTAGTTGACTGCCCTACACCTAAAAAAGAACTTAATTGATTAAAGTACATAGTAGGCCTGGTGTCGTGGCTCATGCCTTTAATCCTAGCACTTTGGGAGGCTGAGGTGGGAGGATCACTTGAGGTCAGGAGTACAATACCAGCCTGGCCAACATGGTGAAACCCCGTCTCTACTAAAAATGCAAAAACTACCTGGGCATGTTGGCGTGTGCCTGTAGTCCCAGCTACTTGAGAGGCTGAGGCAAAAGAACCATCTGAACCCAGGAGGTAGAGGTTGCAGTAAGCCCAGATCATGCCACTGCACTCTAGCCTGGGCAACAGACAAAGCAAGGCTCTATCTCAATACAAAAAAAAAGTATGGGTACTGTACTGTCATAGGTAGTAATTTGGAATTGGATTCAAAGTTCACAAGTGATCTAACATAATTGTTGCATATTGTATTTGATAAAACTATCCAAGGCATTTGTTAGATTACTATTTTTAAACCTCTCTTAGTAATCAACTGTTTTGCGTGTGTACATGTTTTTTGTTTTGTTTTTTTGAGATGGAGTCTCTCTCTGTCGCCAGGCTATAGTGCAGTGGCACTATCTCGGCTGACTGCAACCTCTGCCTCCCGGGTTCAAGCAATTCTCCTGCCTCAGCCTCCAGAGTAGCTGGGACTATAGGCATGCGCCACCACACCCAGCTAATTTTTGTATTTTTTAGTAGAGATGGGGTTTCACCATGTTGACCAGGATAGTCTTGATCTCTTTACCTAATGTCTGCCCGCCTCGGCCTCCCAAAGTGCTGGGATTACAGGCATGAGCCACTTTTTCACCTGACCACTTTTTCCTAGTTTTTAAGGAAGAGTTAAGGACATTGAAGAGAGTTCTTATGTTTATAAAACTTATAAAGTAGGGAAGAATGCAAGATAAACATGTAAACACAAGGGAAATGTGTAAACATGTTTTGTTTCAGGGTTAGCTACATTTCTGTGATTGGTAAATTTATTACAATGTAGGTAGCCTATTGCAACAGAAAACTTCGGTTTATTCATGCCAAAGAGCAAAACAGTACTTCATAGCATGTAATATGTCATTATTCAATTCCAGTTGCATTCCCACTTGTAATTACTAATTGCTTCAATAGGTAATCTAGTATCTTCTCTCATCTGTTTTTGGGATGCTATATAACTCTACTCCTATATGTTATTTCTTCCTACCCTTGTAAAAGTTAGTTTAGGCTCATTTGGGCTGTCTTTTATTTACTCCAGGTAATACGGTATTTCTTCTCCAGTTTTGAAAAACTAAGAGGCTAATTGGATCTAAGCTTTAGTTTGATTTTTAGGTGCTTTAAAAATTTTTTAAGCTGGGTGTGGTGGCATTGCTTATATTCAGTTACTCAGAAGGCTGATAAGGGCGGATCACCTGAGCCCAGGAGTTCAAGTCCATCCTGGGCAACACAGCAATATGGTGTCTCTTCTCAAAAAAAGTTTTTGAGACAGGGTTTTGCTCTGTGAACCAGGCTGAAGTGCTGTGCTGTGATCTCGGTAACTATAGCCTAAATTTCCGAGGCTCCAGCCATCCTCCCACCTCAGCCTCCCAGTAGCTGGAACCACAGGCACGTGCTACCAGGCACAGCTGATTTTTGTATTTTTGGTAGAGATAGGGTTTCACCATGGTGCCCAGACTGGTCTCGAACTCTTGTGGTCAAGCAGTCTGCCCACCTCAGCCACCCAAAGGGCTGGGATTATAGGTGTGAGCCACTGTGCCCAGCAAAAAAAAAAAAAAAGAAAAAAAAAAAAACTTTTTAAAGCAGAAATTCTGAAAAAAAAATTCAATTGCACTTGTGTATGTGTAGAATCTGATTTAACAAAGGGTTAAAATTACTTGGCCCACTTGTACTTCCATTAGCAGTAACTCCAAACATAAAATGAAATTCACAGAAACAGAAGTTGTCATTGAAGCCAAGAAAGAGGTCTTTATTTCTAAAGCAAAAGTAGTTGAAGTGTTGGAATTTTCTTGGGAAAATGTCAGCAGAAAACACTTGTCTTTTTCTCAGTCATAATTTGAAGCACAAGAGACTTGAAGTTTATAGAATTATAAAAACCTGAATCAATAAAAACATTTGAATTGGATTTCTTGGTAACCCAGCGGTTCCTACCTCTGTTATTGGAATTTTGCTTTCTAGCCTCTTCGTTAATTTTCCTAGGGTAGGCCTTATTTTCTTTAACATTCTCAAAGCCCTGCCCAATTTAACTTTCTGATAGAGTTTAGTCAGAAAGCCTCGTAAGTCAACTCCCTCTTTTTTCCCATGACTTTCTTTTTCTAACTCAATTCTTCTGTTAGTTTTTTAAGTATTTCTTAAGTAAGCACTTAGTGACAATACTGGGTTATGTCACTTGTGGTTTTTCTTGGCATTGGGCCATATCCACTTGATTTTACACTTACTTGCTTCCTTGTTGAGGAACTAATAATAACCCATCATGACTCTCTGCAATTACTTGATATTATTGAAATACAGTGCTTTTATTTCTCAGGACTATTTTATACATTTATGTCAGCTTTACTCAAGTATTTTAGAACTTTAAGAACCTGTTCATATCATATAAGTCTTCCTCAGAAATACAAGAGACTTGTATATGGCAGGAGTGGTAAAACATGTGAAAATATATTGCCTAATATGTATGTTTCTGTTGATATCTTTTGGAAGCAAGCACATTTTTTCTTTTTTTTCTTACGGCTATAGGAGACACTAAGATGTTCTTTTTAAAAGCATTATTTCTCATCAGACAAATAAAATTACAAATATTTTAATTGTTAGTTTAGGACACAGTAAAAGACTTTGATAACATTGACAGGCAATCACATATATTTCTGGATATTAGTCTCAACTTCGCTATGTACTTTTTCATAACTATATAAATTGAGAGAGCAGCTGTGGCCTTATTCATTGCAGATCTTGATTTATTCTATTTTTTTTAAAAACATTCAGAAAATATCTTTGTGTCAAAAGAAATGCTAATGATTTTCTTTAGAATATGAACCCATTGTAATCAGTACTGGGCAATCTTTCTCACTTTGCTGATTGCATGTATTTGTGACCCTTAGATTGTAGGGAATGGAAGTGAACAGCAGCTGCAAAAAGAACTAGCAGATGTACTGATGGATCCTCCAATGGACGACCAGCCAGGGGAAAAGGAGCTTGTGAAAAGGTCACAACTGGATGGTGAAGGAGATGGGCCTCTTTCTAATCAGCTCTCCGCTTCATCCACCATTAACCCTGTGCCATTAGTAGGGCTCCAAAAACCAGAGATGAGCCTGCCAGTGAAACCTGGACAAGGAGGTTAGGATTGCTGCATTGCTTGCATAACTGAAGGTTATTGTTTTTAATATGTGAGTGTCCACCCTGTACTAGGTTTTATTTAGAACAGGCAAAACCATTGTCTACATTCTCTAGAATCTCCAAATTCTAAATCTAGGGGGATGTGAAAGGAGTAAATATGTGTACCATTCTTATTTCCATTTAAATGTATTTCAGTGGTACTGGAAGAGAAAACATGGTTAAATGACATAGGGGGAGACTTTTTTTTTTAAATTTCCCTAGAATGCTTAAAGATTTTTCAAAGAAAGAAATAAGTACAATATTAGAGAAATGGAGGGATAATTCTGGGTGAACAGATGTTTGCTCCAGACCTGAATAGCTCTATGCGAGGGGTTGCCAAGTTGAAAAAGGAAGACTAGAACGTGGGACAGAACGACATAGCATGAGTGGAGAAGGACAACTTAAAACCTCATTTAGAAAAGTGGGTGTTAAAACTGTAGATGTTATAGGAAAAGGAAAGCCAAGGGAATTGAGAGAACATAATGAAGTGGCTAAGATGATGAATGAGAGAAATAATTTAACAGTGCAGGTTAGAAAGACGACAATCAGAGATAGGAGTTTTTAGAGTGAAAAAATACTAAATATATATTTGACCTGAATGTAAATTATAAAGTCCAAACACATTGGAAGAGGCAGAAAAGTGAATCAAATCTGAATCTGATTGAGACTGACTCTACTAGCACTATAGTTTGAGCATCCATTGTCCAAAATGCTTGAGACCAGAAGTGTTTCAGATTTCAGAATTTTTGGATTTTGGGATATGCATATTATTACCTGCTGAGCACCCCAAGTCCAATAATTCGAAATCTGAAATGCCCCAAATAGTATTTCTTTTAAGTGTCATGTAGGTGCTAAAAAGGTTTTGAAATTTGAAGCATTTCATGTTTCAGATTTTTGAATTTAGGATACTCAGCCTGTACCTGAAAATCTTGGTGTTTCTGACAGAGTTCTAGTGTGAGATTTCTGGCTTTCATGGGTATTTCTTTCAGGGTATGGCATATGTTATTTCATTAATACTTAATTTTAGCCCTAATTATTACTTGCAGATGTTTACTTGCTAATTATATCAACAAAATATCAAAGTGAAAATAATCACTTCCCTATTCTTTGTTTCTTTCAGATTCTGAAGTTTCAAGTCCTTTCACACCGGTGGCCGATGAAGACAGCGTAGTTTTCAGTAAACTAACTTATTTAGGCTGTGCCTCGGTAAATGCCCCCAGGAGTGAAGTGGAAGCCTTAAGGATGATGTCCATCTTAAGAAGCCAGTGTCAGATTTCACTAGATGTTACCCTTTCAGTGCCGAATGTATCTGAAGGAATTGTGAGGTGAGACTGGTTTATTGAAATCTTTTAATATTTACATGAGGTCCCTGACCTGTTGCATTAGAAAGAAGCAATAGTGACTAAAATAAATATTAATAGTTATTTTACTTGTGTAATGTTTCATTTACCTAGCACTTATGTCTTCCAAGGACTGTGACCTTTGTGAAAAATGGTTATTCATTTGTAATAGTTTTTCATACTTTTTCCAATCATGTGTAGCACATTAGACATTTAATGTAATGTTTTGGGGATAAATGAAATATATGACATGAGTCAGCCTAAAGATTATATTTTCCATGTTCCCTCAATGAAAATACAAGCTTGACACCTTAGTTCAAAATGGAGTTTCATGCTGAGTTTCCAAGTTAAAAGAATTTATTAGTATATATTAACTATGCCAGTATACCTCTTAAGATGAGAAAACTGGCCAGGTGCAGTCGTACATGCCTATAATCCCTGCACTTTGGGAGGCCAAGACAGGTTGATCACTTAAGTTCAGGAGTTCAAGACCAGCCTGGGCAACATGGTGAAACTCTGTCTTTACAAAACATATAAAAATTAGCCACGCATGGTTGCACATACCTGTAGTCCCAGCTACTCGGGAGGCTGAAATGGGAGGATCATCTGAGCCCGGGAATTGAAGGCTGCAGTGAGCTGTGATTTACTACATCACTACAGACTGGGTAACAAAGTGAGACCCTGTCTGAACAAAACAAAATGAAAAAAAGCTCAGAAAACTGAGGCACAGAGAAGCCTCTAGAAATGGCTATGTGTACTAATAGAACAAATAACAATTGCAGATAGCTAATCAGATACCTATATCAACCAGCTAAATAAACAGTTGCTCAATAGTCAAATGACTGCTGCTAAAATAACTTTTTCTGTTACCAAAAAATATGCTTATTTAAAAAAAAAAAAACCACATAAAATAGTCTTAATTCTACTCTCCCAGTAATAAATACAGTTAACATCTTGGCTTATTAAGATCTTCTTTGCATATTGGTATGTGTATATGTCTGTGTATGTGTGAATATAACTGCATATATACATACATAATTATACAACTCTCAAATTTTTTTAACAGCAGTGGAATTGTACATACCATCTTGTACTTAGTTTTATGTCATAAACCTGTTTTCATGCCAGTAAATATGAAAATTTTAATTTATGATTACATGTGAATGGTTTATACATAAATAACCCTTCTCTTACGTTAGATATTTTAAGATTTTTTTCCTTTCAAAGAAAAAAGCATGAACAATAATAGCTAATTTTAATTATATGGGAGTATCGGTGATTTATAAATAGGTATCTTTGAGCTCAGTCTTTGTAGTGTTCTATTGATTTTCTGAGGATAAATTTCTAGAAGTAAACTTACTGAGTTTGTCCATTTTTATTGCTTCTGATAACGTTGCCACTAGCCATCTAGAAATATTGATCCAGTTTATACTTTTATCGGTAGAATAGAGTATCCGTTTCTCAGAAGTATTTTTGGACTTTCATGGTAACAAGAGTAGTAGCTGTTGATTGTAGTAAAATGAATAATCTGTATATGTAATTTTTTTCCCCTTATTTAAAGAACTATTTCGCAGAGACTCACAAATTGTATTTATTAATGATAAACTATTAATGAAATTTGTTAGCACTCATTTCTCTGTGTTTCTTATTCAATATTCATTCCTCTAACTGAAGTTATACTTCAGTATATTTTTAATTCTATAAAAGAAGTTAGAAAACTAGTCTGTCTTACCCCACATTTTCAGAGTTTTCATGAAAGTGCTTTCAAACCTGCATTAGATCCCCTTCCTAGTTATTTCCATGATGAGCAGCGCCCTTTAGGCTTTCCCCATTAATGTCGCTGGTCACTTAGTGTTGAAATTGCATAGTTTCTTTTTAAACCTTTCATAATTGTTCCTTAATGCCCTGAACAGAGTCTGGAATGTTGTAGGTATTACATAAATATTTGTTGAATAAGTAGATTTTTGAATGAATGCTGTCCCTTTGATTTTTTTTTTTTTTACTGAATGGTATCTTTTTGATTTTATTCATGATTTTTTTGAGGAGTTAGCATTTTGTATAAACACTGCCCTTATTTTCCGTGAGTCAAAAACAAGTTTGTTTCAGTCTGAGGAGGAAAAAGTTTTTTTGGTTTTTATTTTTTTGAAAACAGTTTAGGTCTTTTTAAAGGAGATAATTAGAAGCACAGCTTTGCCTAGAGCGATGGTGGCTCAAGCCTGTAATCCCAGCACTTTGGGAGGCCAATGTGGGCAGATCACCTGAGGTCAGGAAAGTGAGTCCAACCTGGCTAATATGGTGAAACCCCGTCTCTACTAAAAAAATTAGCCTGGCGTGGTGGCACCTGCCTTAAATCCCAGCTACTCCGGACGCCAAGGCAGGAGAATCACTTGAACCTGGGAGGCGGAGGTTGCAGTGAGCTGAGATCATGCCATTGCACTCCATTCTGGGCAACAAGAGCAAAACTCCATCTCAAAAAAAAAAAAAGAGAAAAAGAAGCACAGCTTTAGTGATATATTTTGGTAGTTTAATTTACATAGTAGCCATCTCTGTTTTTTTGCAGACTATATAAGAAACGTGCTCATTGATACTGTTTATTCCTTTCTGTTTGCCTCCCTAAAACATGATACCGTATAGTTGTTAGTACCATGGAATTATGTAATCAGTAGCTTCAGGAAGCCACATATAATTAAAATTTAAGATTAATATCCACATACCAAATATATGATCTTCTTACTAGAAAGAATTAGTCTCACATCTTAATATGAATATAGTGCAAATTGTTCATAATTCCTCTAATCATCTCTTTGTCTCTGAACAGACTCTTAGATCCTCAGACAAACACTGAAATAGCAAACTACCCTATCTACAAAATCCTCTTCTGTGTCAGAGGGCATGATGGAACTCCTGAAAGTGACTGTTTTGCTTTTACTGAAAGTCATTACAATGCAGAGCTTTTCAGAATACACGTCTTCCGGTGTGAAATACAAGAAGCTGTAAGTCCTCAAGAGAAAACTGTCTGCAAATGAAACTTCATCAGTGCCCTCACTAGGTTGAAATGATTGTGGTATTTATTATGGTCACTCATAAGCCAAATGAAATTCTCTGTTAGTGTTTTAGTGATTTTAGCCTGATGGGCCAAAATATATATTAACTAAAAATTTGATTAACCAGAACCTTGTTGTTACTACTAAGAATGTCAGAGGAGACCTGTTGGCTACTTTTGATTGAGTTAAGTAGGCATTCTGGTTCTAACATTGACAGATTTGCAAACCATTCTTTTAAGTCAAAACTTGTTAGGACTGTTTTCATTATAATATCTATAGATAGTTTCTAACAATGAAGGAAATTATTTTTTAGTTGGATTTCTAGTGCTTACAGCCATTTCTTTTTTTTTTTTTTATTGAGACGGAGTTTCACTCTTGTTACCCAGACTGGTGTGCAATGGCACGATCTCGGCTCACTGCAACCTCCGCCTCCTGGGTTCAGGCAATTCTCCTGCCTCAGCCTCGTGAGTAGCTGGGATTACAGGCACGTGCCACCATGCCCAGCTAATTTTTTGTAGTTTTTTTAGTAGAGACGGGGTTTCACCATGTTGACCAGGATGGTCTTGATCTCTTGACCTCGTGATCCACCTGCCTCGGCCTCCCAAAGTGCTGGGATTACAGGCGTGAGCCACCGTGCCTGGCCAGTCATTTCTTTTTTAAAACCCTTTGGCCATTTTTAGTGTTGCTTCCTTTATAGGCCTAACAAATTAGGTAATTTATGAAAAGAAATAAATGGGGTAAAGATAATTATTGTCCTCCAAAGTACATGACCTTCCAGCCTTAATTAAAAGTATTTTATATCTTTCAATAACAGCCCATTTCCTAACATGTCTGGTTGTAGGTAAGCCGGATACTTTACAGCTTTGCCACTGCCTTCCGTCGTTCTGCCAAGCAGACCCCACTTTCAGCCACTGCTGCACCCCAGACTCCTGACAGTGACATCTTTACCTTCTCTGTGTCTTTAGAAATAAAAGAAGATGATGGTAAAGGTTATTTTAGGTAGGGAATTGTATTTTATTCATTTTCTTGAGTTTCTATTAACATGCTGTGGTTCAGGGAAAATTCTAGGTCAGATTATAACTTTCATACCATAAAATAATTGCTTTTAAAGGGAGGGCTTTTAAAAAATGTGGGTGATAAAGGAAAATAAATACGTAGATTTAACAGAGGCAAAGTTTGAAGAAATTTTATGGTTGCATGATGACTTTATTTTAATTTTTTTTATTTTTTTTTGAGACAGAGTCTCATTCTGTCACCCAGGCTGGAGTACAGTGACACTGTCTCGGCTCACTGCAACCTCTGGCTCCTGGGTTCAAGCAATTCTCCTGCCTCAGCCTCCTGAATAGCTGGGACTATAGGCATGCACTATCACTCCCGGCAGATTTTTGTATTTTTAGTAGAGACGGGATTTCAACATATTGGTCAGGCTGATGTTGAACTCCTGACTTCGTGATCTGCCTGCCTCGGCCTCCCAAATAGCCCATGTCACAAAATGATTGCATTATAATCAGTAGTTGCATGTAGAAGTTTGTTTCCTCCATGTCTACCTCATTGAATTGGTAAAATGAAGTTATATAAAAATGTAAATTTTTCTGATACTTTGCTTTTAAATTAAGTACAGTAATTGGTTTATTAGATTATTTATTAGAAAAACTGATAATTCTACCTTCCAAAGAATTACATTTCTCTCTTCAAACTTTGGAATTGTTATGCCATCTGGTGGCCATTTTAGTGTACAGTGCAGCTTAAAACTTTGAGGAGTAAAGTATGGAGGCATTGTGCTCTGTGCTTTCTAATTAGGTATGTTTCTATTACCTCTCCTTTATTTTTGGAGATAGGGTCTCACTCTGTTGCTCAGGCTGGAGTAAAGTGTGGTACAAATATAACTCACCGCAGCCTCAACTTCCTGGACTCAAGCAGTCCTCCCACCTCAGCCTCCTGAGTAGCTTGGACCACAGATGCACGTCGCTATGTCTGGCTAATTTTTGTTTTAAGCTTTTCTAGACATGGGGTCTTGCCACTTTGCCCAGGCTGGTGTGGAACTCCTGGGCTCAAGTGATTCTCTCAGCTTGTAGAGTGTTGGGATTAAGGCATGAGCCACCATTTCTGGCCATTTCTATTCTGAAAGAAATGTTGTGAGGTGGTCCTTCCTACCGTGTATATTCCTGCCCTGCAAAGTGGAAATTATAATCTATATAATTTTAGGTAATTTTTTACCTTGTTAAGAAACAAACCTTTAAATATTTTTTTTTCTTTCTTTCTTTTTTGAGACAGTCTTGCTCTGTCACTGAGGCTGATTGCAGTGGCATGACTTTGGTTCGCTGCAACCTACAGCTCCTGGGTTCAAGCAATTCTCATGCCTCAGCCTCCTGAGTAGCTGGGACCATGATGGTTGGCTAATTTTTTGTATTTTTAGTAGAAACAGGTTTCACCATGTTGGCCAGGCTGGTCTTAAAACTTCCAGCCTCAAATGATCTGTCTACCTTGGCCTCCCAAAGTGCTGGGATTATGGGCATGAGTCACCACGCCTGGCCATTTTTTCTTTATTGAAAATATTTATGTAGTTTTTGTCTGTAAATTCTAATTATTAAATAGGAAGGATTAAGATCCTTCAGAAGTATCAGTATAACTTCTGTTCCTTCTGAAATCAGGCATATTCAAAGTAGAATGGTCATAAATATTTCTGTTCTGTTTGCCCTCATACTGACAAAGCACCATTACAGAAAATCCCTGGATAGTCAGATTTTCTTTTCATGTTTGTTAGGACTTTATTCTCCTTTTGCTTCATGGCTTTACTGAATTTGTAGTTTATAATAAACACTGTTGTGCTAACTTAAATATATTATTTAAGTATAATGATCAATATACCTAAATATATTAAATATATTATTTAGGTGTAATAATAATTATTACAGCTAAATAATTGTTACACCTCAATAGGGTAACACAACAGTATTTTCAATGTATGAAATAATGGCAAAATATATGTTGCTTTGTCAGATTTAAACTTGTCAAATGCAGTTCCTCTTATCCAGTAATTCTATAATTAATGTATGGGAATTTATCTGCAGAAATAATCCTTGAGGTGTTCAAAGAATTATTAGCATGAATGTTCTGCTACATACTGTGTATAATATTAATAGCAAATTTTAAAAGTAGAAATTAAATGTTGACTAGAGCAGTAAAACGTTGGTTTACGGATATTACTTATCCCCTGTCCAAGACATATTTGTGTATAACACAGCACAAGATTTACTATGGTTTTACTTTAACATAAATATAGACAAAGTATGATGAGAAGAATTAATGCTCTTCTTCTCATTTCTGAAAAAGTATAATTTTTAAATTACTATAATTAGAAACCCACGTCTCTATTTTGCCCATGGGAATACTGAGCATTTGCTTGTTTGTAGAGACAGGGTCTCATACTTTTTTTTTTTTTTTCTGAGATGGAGTATTGCTCTGTCACCCATGCTGGAGTGCAGTCTTGGTTCACTGCAACCTCTGCTTCCCAGGTTTAGGCAATTCTCCTGTCTCAGCCTCCTGAGTAGCTGGGATTACAGACATGTGCCACCATGCCTGACTAATTTTTATATTTTTAGTAGAGGCAGGATTTTACCATGCTGACCAAGCTGGTCTCGAACTCCTGACCTCAAATAATCCACCTGCCTCAGCCTCCCAAAGTGCTGGGATTACAGGTGTGAGCCACTGTGCCCACCTAAATTGAGCATTTTAATTCAAAGCACTGTTCAAAGCACTTTTTTGTTTTACCTAATCTGCTAACCATTCTTATAAAATAAATTAGGTAGTTGATAACTGTGCTTATTTATAGGTAAACCCAGGGAAATTAAACCTGGACTTCAGTTTCTTATTTTATACAATAGGAATTAAGTATTAGCTTCCTTACTTGAATTCATTCAATGGTATAGTTATAAGACCAGAAATATAATCTAGGAGCCTGACATTCAGTGAGGTGAATACTCACTGATTACTCTCCATTCTCCTTCCTGTTATTTCAGCCCTGTAGAGTCAGGACACCAGAGACGACTTTTTATCTGTTGTTGTTGTTGTTGTCCTTTTAAACTGCCAAACAATGATATTATATTTACTTCAGCATCCAAAGAACATAGAGACCAGGGTATCTATTACCGGTTGAATAATATTGAGACCCTTTCAATCTCCTTAGGTGAAAACTGTCATAAATATTTAACAGTTTGGTATGCAAAGGTTTTCTTTGAATGTTTTTGTCATTTATAGACTCTTTTGCTAAGTTTCTTTGATTTTCTAATGGAAGTATTCAAAAATGTTCTTGAGTTAGTATATATTAGTAGTAATAAAGTACAGAAGGGCTTCAAATTAATATTTCTTTAGTGCTACCTTTAAGTTTCAGTAGGTATTCAGAGCTTTCACCTCATGGGTTACAGTATCTACTAATGGTTCTATTGTCATTATCTTAAAGTTATACTGAAATAAGATACAATTTAGATTTGCTGCCTATTGGCTGATGGCCATAGATAGATGTTTACGTTTGAGAACGATGAGCTAGAGAAAGTAGTGTGTGGAAGAATAGGGGATTATTTTGGTAAACTGTCATTTTAAGAATATTGCTGTGGCTCACATCTCTAATCCCAGCACTTGGGGAGGCCGAGGTGGGAGGATTGCTTGAGCTCATGAGTTCGAGACCAGCCCATGAGTTCGAGGCCGTCTCTACAAAAAACTTAAAAATTAGCCAAGCATAGTGGCATGTACCTGCAATTGTAGCTACTCTGGAGGCTGAGGCAGGAAGATAACTTGTACCTAGGAATTTGAGGCTGCAGTGAACTATGAGATTGTGCCACTGTACTGCAGCCTGGGCAACAGAGCAAGATCCTTTCTCAAAAAAAGAAAAAGAATATTTTTAGCTTTTTAATTAAGCTGATGTTTATTAACTTTATCACTAGGTAGTATTTTATAATTATTACACTGGTTTATAATAAAGTTAACAGTGCTTAAGGGTGGTATTAGGCAACAGCTTATTATTGGCCATATCTTCCTTGTTTCTATTACTTTTTAAAGATACTTTGTTTTGAAACTCGAAGGATCTTTGATTAAGTATCTTTTTCTTCATTATATATTTAAGTAAAGAAGGTGATAATAATTTATCTGTAAAATCCAGTGATAAATATAAAGGAAAGAATACTTAACTTTTAAAAATTTTGCATGTCAGATGCCATGCAAGGTGCTTTACAGAAACAAAAGAGAGAAAATTAAGGTTATGTTTTAGGGGGGGCATAGGAAGGATTTTTCTAGCTTTTTAAATGCTTTAGTGGTTTACCTGCAAATATCACATGATATTTTCTTTCTTTCATTTTTTTTTTTTTTTTGAGATGTAATCTTGCTCTGTCGCCCATGCTGGAGTGCAGCAGTGCAGTCTTGGCTCACTGCAACCTCTGCCTCCATGGTTCAAGCGATTCTTCTGCCTCAGCCTCCCGAGTAGCTGTGACTATAGGTGTGTGCCACCACACCCAGCTAATTTTTGTATTTTTCGTAGAGATGGGGTTTCACCGTGTTGACCAGGCTGGTCTCGAACTCCTGACCTCAAGTGATCTACTCACCTCAGCCTTCCAAAGTTCTGGGATTACAGGCGTAAGCCATTGTGCCCAGCCTCAAATGATATTTTCACATCAAGAGGCATACAATGATTTTTTTTTTCTTTTTTGTTATTATTTGCAAACCAGGCACAGAAAAGAATCAGAGATTTGAGGTCTTTGTTTAAAAAAAATGATTCTAGTATGTGACAAGAAAATGCTTTGCAAAATTAATGAAACATGTTGGTCTACAGTGCAGTTCCCAAAGATAAGGACAAACAATGCTTTAAACTACGCCAAGGAATTGATAAGAAGATTGTCATCTATGTGCAGCAAACAACTAATAAAGAACTTGCCATTGAAAGGTAAGTATTTTCAGTAAGTTTAGTTTAAATACAAATTTTGGCTTTTACCAATCTAATGGCATAGTCATATACTGTATTAAAAATGTATTTACAAAATATTTTGTTCCCTAGGAAATTATGTTGTTTACTGAAGTCAGTGCTTCATTACTTTGAAATAGCTTCTATAAATCATCAGCTAATATGCTCACTTCATGTGGTAATAAGAGACAAACGGAATTAGCTGATTTTGAAGCAAGATTTATTATTTTAGCAACACAAATTTATTGATAATTTTAATGTGTCCTCTTTTCTGTCAGCAAGAATTTGTTTTTAAAGTGGCCTAATGTAAACATTTTTTTGTGTTATCTTTTTTCTTAAATTTATGTCAGTTCTTTTTTTGCAGGTGTTTTGGTCTTCTGCTTAGTCCAGGAAAAGATGTACGAAATAGTGACATGCACTTACTAGATTTGGTAAGCATTTCTTTTTACTGGAAAGGTACATACTATTTCCTCAGTAAAGGTTATTTCACTTTTTCTCATATGAATCTAATGTTAAAACATGTTTATGAAGGTGATCTTGTAAGCTACAAAAAAATACACAAAGATAAGACAATTTCCTTTTTCCTGGCTAGTGATTACAAGCCTGACTTTGGATAAGCCTTAGTTTCTTACTGTGTGGTGGTGCTAAAATTCTTGCTTAACTATTTGGGTACAGTTGATGTGATAATCAAAAGAGAAAATTTAGTAGAGAATTATTTATAGACTGTCATGTGTTTTACCAATAGTAGGAGTTAGTATTATTCCCGTTATCTGAAAATCTTTATTTTTAAAACTAAAAATTAAATGGTGGTAATTCACTTGAAAGAGGATTTTAACATCAGATTTAGGTTGTGAATTTCCTTAATGTTTATATAATTTGATATGATTCGTAAACATTTACATGTAACCTCAGGACAGTTGCATAAATAATTGACACATTTTTTAACCATAACTGTAATCATTCACATACACTTATCTGATCCTCTTCCATATTCTTATATTTTCGCAGCTTCTGGTTTTTAAAGGCAGCATGATGGTGGTTACCTGTTGTTCACTCACTTTGGCATTCAGGCTTATTTTTACTCTTTTGCTAGGAATCTATGGGCAAAAGTTCAGATGGAAAGTCCTATGTTATCACTGGGAGCTGGAATCCGAAATCCCCACATTTTCAAGTTGTAAATGAAGAAACTCCTAAAGGTGATACAGATTGTTGACATCATGAACAGAAATTTTAGTCTCGAGAAGATACGCAAAACTAAGGACCATCTATTTGACCAATATCCAGTGTTTACCTAATTCTGGTGAAACCAAATAATTTGAATAGTTCTTGAGTTTATTATTAAATTTGACCTATAAGCAAAGTACTGTTTTTTTGTCACTTTTCCATCTTCTTTTTCATTTTTTCCTTCCCCTCTTCCTTTGCTTTCTTTCTATTTATATGTTTATTTACTTAAAGACTTCTAAGTTTCATTTATTTTTATAGAGAGGTAATCCATGCACATAAATGTTTAAAAATTTCAAAGGATTTATAGGGAAAAGTGAGTCTATCACAGTACCCTTGGCTCCCTCCCAAAGGAATCACTGTTAGCAGTTTCTTGTGTAGCTTTTCAGATAATTTATGCATAAAGTATCTGGGAGATATTTCATATGCTCTTTGAATGGCATTTAATAGCTACATAATATCCCATCCTGAAAATGTAATTTACTTAATAAATGCCTGTTATTGAGCATTTTTTTTCCCTTAGTTTTTTGTTATTAATAACACTATAGATAAATGGTTAAAGGATATAAACAGACCAATTCACATACCATTGTTAACCAAGTTTAAAAATTGAGGATTCTGAGTGTTGATGAGGGTTGTATAAAGAAGTCATATGCCACTTTTGCAGAACAATCTGGCAGTACAATGTTGTTGTTTTGTTTTGTTTTTGAGATAGAGTCTCACTCTGTCACCCAGGCTGGAATGCAGTGGCATTTATCTTGGCTCACTGCAACCTCTACCTCCCGGGTTTAAGTGATTCTCCTACCTCAACCTCCCAAGTACCAGCGACTACAGGCATGTGCCACCACACCTGGCTAATTTTTGTATTTTTAGTAGAGATAGGGTTTCACCATGTTGGCCAGGCTGGTCTCGAACTCCGTGCTCAAGTGATCTGCCTGCCCTGGCCTCCTGATGACAGCTTTTGTATGACAGCTTTTAGTTTTAAAAGCTGTAAAGTATATACTACTGTCACTTACTTTAAAAGAATTTTGAATATGGTTTTTTTTACAAAACAGTAATTTGTCTAATTACATGTTTAATTGATGGTTTACTTAAGTGTTTGAAAGTTTATAATAAAAGTAATAGCTTTTATGGAATCTATTGTTTTTTTGTTTTTTTTTCTTTTATGGAATCTTATGAGCAAATGTATTTGTCTTTTTGATTTACATCTTCAACCTCTCTCTTTCTTTGTTTAGATAAAGTCTTGTTTATGACCACAGCTGTAGATTTGGTAATAACAGAAGTACAGGAGCCTGTTCGATTTCTCCTGGAGACAAAAGTTCGCGTTTGCTCTCCTAATGAAAGATTATTCTGGCCCTTCAGCAAACGTAGCACTACTGAAAATTTCTTTTTGAAACTAAAGCAGGTACTGTATTTTTCTGTTACTATGGAAGGGGGAATGAGGAGAAATCACTTCTGAGGCTGATTTCTAAGCTCTCAGATCTTTAAGCAGTCATGTGTACTTTAAATATATTAAGAGGAAAAATTATCTTTTTCTTATTTACCCACCTATTTATCATTTTCATTGCTCTTTGTTTCTTTCCAAAGATCCACATTTCCATTTGATTTCATTTACTTCCAACCTGAAGAACTTACATTAGCATTTCTTTTAGTGTAGATCTGCTAAAGATATATTCTAGGTGAAAATGTCATTTTTTGGCTTTCATCCCAGTAGGATATTTTCACTTGATAGGATTCTGGTTGACATTATTTTTTTTTCTTTTCTTTCCTTTAAAGATGTCATTCCTATTCTTCTGGCTTCCATTGTTTTTGTTTTTTTGTTGTTGTTTTTGAGATGAAGTCTTGCTCTGTCACTACCCGGGCTGGAGTGCAATGGCTCAATCTTGGTGTACTGCAACCTCCGCCTCCTGGGTTCAAGTGATTTTCTTCCCTCAATCTCCCGAGTAGCTGGGACTACAAGTGTGTGCCAGCACGCCTGGCTGATTTTTTTTTTTTTTTTTTTTCGTATTTTTAGTAGAGACAGGGTTTCACCATGTTGGCCAGACTGGTCTCGAACTCTTGACCTCAGGTGACCCACCCACCTCAGCCTCCCAGAGTCCTAGGACTACAGACATGAGCCACCATGCCCAGCTAGCCCTTCCATTGTTTTTGATAAGTCAGCATTCATTTTAGTTCCTTTAGGTATAATGTGTCATTTTCCTCTTGCTGCTTTTAAGATTATTTATCTTTGGTTTTTAGATGTTTAACTGTGACATGACTAGGTATGGTTTTCTTTCAGTTTATCCTGCTCATGATTCGCTGGGGTTCTTACATTTTTTAATTTATGCTTTTTTTTTTTAACCAGATTTGGGGGATTTCTTCAACTTTTTTTTCCTGCCCATCTCTCTTTTCTCTGATTCGGGGATTGTAATTATATATATTTTAGAGCTTTTTATATTATCCCACAGATCTCTGAGTCTCTATTTTTTTTTCCCAGTCTTTTTTCTGTGTTTTCTTCAGATTCGATACTTTCTATTAATATGTCTTAAAGTTCACTGATTTTTATCAACTTCTAATCTGTTAGAGTCATTCAGTGAATTTTTAAAACATTTTCTATATTGTTTTTTGTTTTTAAAATGTCTGTGTGATTTTTTGTCTGTTTTCTCTTGATTTCCTATATGTTCTTTTATATTGAGCAGCTTGTCTTTTAAATCCTTAAGCATAATTACAGTACAGCTACTTTACAATTTTTCCTGCTAATTTTCATGTATGATGTTGCACATTTTTGTTTATTCCTTGTAATTTTGGTTTACATGTTAAACATCTTAAATGATACATTGTAGAGACTGTATTGTTACATTCTTCTGAAGAGTATTGATTTTTTTTTTAATCTCATAGTTGACTTTATCAAAGTCAAACTTTATATTCTGTCTTTTCTCTGGGTGGGTAGCAGCCAAAATCTCTGTTCCATTCTTTTAATCTTTTTTGGCCCCCTGTTGCTCTACTACCTACTGCTTCCATTTTTACTTTCCTCTGTAGCAGAACTTCTTGGAAGAAATCAAAGTCACCACTGATTTAAGTTGCTAATCTGAGTCCTCATTTTGTATATCAAATGTCTGTAACATTTGATACAGATGGTTACTTTCTTTTCCTTAAATCTTCTCTTTCTCTTAGTTCTCAGGACATCTCAAATGTCACATGTCCAAAAAGGTTCATTATCTCATCTCCATCTAATCACTTCTCACCAGCTAGATTATAATAATCCTCATTGAGTCATCATTTATAGCAATAGCCTTTTTTTTTTTTTTTTTTTTTTTAAATACACGGGATCTTGCCATATTGCCCAGGTTGGCCTTGACCTCATGGGCTCAAGAAGTCTGCCTGCCTCAGCCTCCCTAAGTGCTGGGATTACAAGGCGTGAGCCACCACACCTGGCCTAGCTAGCAGTAGTCTCTTTACCCATCATACTGTTTCTATTTTTGTCCCCTTATAATTTCTTTTCAATGTAATAGCAGCCTAAGGCCAGATCTTACCACTTTTCTGCAAAAAAACCCTCCAGCCTTGTTTTACTCAGTAAAAGCCACAGTTCTTATTATGATTTAGTAGACCTTACCTGATCTGCCTGTTAGATCATAAACACATTTTTCTCTTACTCTTTTCCTCTTGATTATTCACTCTGCTCTAACCAGCTCTTAGGAACTTTGCTATTACTTTTTCTTTCTGCTTGAAATGTTCACTTGCTAATATTCACCTCCTTCGGGTCCTTACCAACTTTTAGATGTGCTCAGATTTACTTCTTGTCAACCCACCCTCACTACCCCATTTAAAACTGCAGTTTGCCTGCTCTTTCATTGATACTGCCAATTCCCCCAACTTCCAAATATTCTATTTTTTATTTTATTTTATTTCTGAGACAGAGTCTCACTCTGTCACCCAGGCTGGAGTTCAGTGATAAGATCTTGGCTCACTGCAACCTCCGCCTCCCAGGTTCAAGTGATTCTCCTGCTTCAGCCTCCTGAGTAGCTGGTACTACAGGTGCGCACCACCACATGTGTAATTTTTGTATTTTCAATGGAGATAGGGTTTTACCATGTTGCCCAGGCTAGTCTCGAATTCCTGACCTCAAGTGATCTGCCCACTTTGGCCTCCCAAAGTGCTGGGATTACAAGCTTGAGCCACCACGCCTGGCCTTATTTAAAATTTTTTTTAACCAGACTTTTACATACTGATACATCATGTAACATAGTTATTTTTATATTGTTTATCATCTGTTTTCCATATTAGAGTCCTCCACTAAGGAACGATTCTTAATCTGTCTTATTCACTGACTTATCTCAAGTACATGGAACAGAGTAGTTCTCAATAAATATATGTTGAGTTGATTTTATTTACATACAGCTTCTATTTTCTATTATATGAAATGAAAGTGTTGTATGTGGGCCTACTTGAATACACTTTTCCATATTACATATTTTTATTTTGATAGCAGTAAGAATTTTGATTCTAGTGTATCCAAGTTAGCCCTATTGGGTGTATTTAGAAAAAGGAAATAAGCAGAGCAGAAATAGATATTTCTTTCCAGTGTTGTCTTAAGAGACAGAAAGTAAACCTGAGTTCCAGCACTATTCTCCTAGCTCTTCATTGTAGTGGGAGCAGAGGATTAGCACAAGGTCATAATCTAGAACTTGCGTTTGGAGTCAGAGCACATAGATTTTACCACTAGCTTGTTAACTTTGAGCAAGTTCCCTCAACTCTCTGAGTCTCAGTTTACTAAATTGTAATTGGCAGCATAATAGAATCATCCTCATGATGTTACTGTGGCATTAAATGAGAAACTGTACAACATGCTTAGAATAGTTCCCAGTACATAGTAAGTTCTCTGTACATATTTGCTGTTATTATTGAGAAGGATTATAAACCTCTGTCAGATACCAAATTAATAAAAAACACTAAGTGATGAAATCAAAACAGCATTGATTATTTAGATGGAGGATCAGTGCCCCTAGAAGAATGCATCAGAAATTAAACCAGTTTACAAACATCACTTTGAAAGTTTACAGACTAAGAGAATGATCTTTAAAAGTTTCTAGATGGTAAATAGAAATTGTGCATATATTTTTTATTTTATATATATGTGTATATATATATATATATATATATTTACTAGTCTGAGAGTAGCTCTGTAATAATTTTTAGTAAAACCTTGTATTAAAAAAGTTGTTTAGAGTTACAGACTTTTAATCTTATTTTAGTGAACATAAGATTCCCCTGCTCTTGCATTTCCTTTGACATCTAATGTTATACAACCTTGGATTCAAAGACTGCATAGGCTTACAAGGTTTTGTGTTTGATATAGAAGAATGTATCTCTCTGTGGAAACAAATTTATTTAATTAATTATTTTTTAAATTATTTATTTAACTTTAGGTGCATACTACATCTGGCATTTCTCCCCATGTTATCCCTCCCCACCCCACACTGTCTCTCCTCTACCCCCCCGCAGCTGCACCCAGTGTGTGATTAATTTCATTTTTAAAATTTATTTTTAGCCACCAGAATGAGAGCTGCATGTTAATTCACTGTAAGACTTTTAAATTATTCTCATAGAGTATGTTATTCAAATAATAGAATAACTCCTATTAATAACTTCTTAAATTTTTTTTTAGTTAGGATAAAAAATGACTTGACAGAGTAGACTAGCCAAAAACATAACTAAGATGCAGCCCAGTCGACTGCTCTGGACTCTTCTGTTAAGGCTACAAACTAAACTTAAGCCAAGTTCCCAATATTTTCTTTGCGAAAAGCAGCAGTGTGTATGTGGAAGCTGGGGGGAGAGCAGGAAATTCCTAATAATCTTTTATTTTTCTCCTTATTTGGATAAATCTTTGTGTTATGTGGGGGTTTAGGGGGGGAGTGGGAAAGGAGAGGTAGAATGGGAAGAATTTGAAAAACTTTTTGCTGTGTTAAAGTATCTAGAACACTGTTAATCTCACTCCTTGTAACTTAATAAATAAATTTATTCCCTCTTTTACATTTATGGCATTAAAAAGTAATAACAGCTACTGCTAATTGAAGTTCAACTGTGATCATCACTGTCTTGGCTACTTCACTTTTTAAAATCTTTTTTTTTTCTTTATTTCACCAGACCCTTAGATTTCTTTTATAAACCAAATTATTCAGATAAGGAATCTATTATTTTCTATCGCTGAAATGTGATAAGTATCTATGACAGAAAAAAGAGATATTTATTTACTTTGAAAATAGTTTAGAAATAGAAAACATCTTGAAAGGAGAAAACAACCCCATAAAACATACAGGCAAATTTGTATTCCATGAGCTACTCACACCCTCACACTTGTTCACCAGTCTCTAAGATGAAAAACTCTCTTCCAAAATGTATTCAGCCACCAACAATGATGTTATTAAT